TGGGACTGTCTTGGTCGAACCAGGGTGTCTGGCAAAGCTACAAAGCAATCAAGACGACAGCGTGAGGAATTTGGATTCAAGCTGTGGAATGAAAAAAACATTCCTTCCCACAAAATTATGTCAGTATAATCAAATTGATTTAGAAAAGACGTCAGTTACACTGGTATCCTCGTTATTACTTAGATGAGGTTTTAATCTTACATAAATAAATGTATTCTATGCTGTCTGTGTACTTGGATACCGTAATGTTCCTAATACCACTTAGCTACAATGCAAACAACAGCAGCAAGAAAGAACTTGCTGTTCAGTGGTTTCTTTGCAGCCAGGCATTGAAGGAAATCTCTGTATGTTTGGAGGCAACAGCAACTTGTTTCACCTGGACATGGTCCACACCAGATATGCTACTTGAGAAGACAGTGGAGAAAAATTTTGAAAAATATATGTAGACCCTGCTCTGAGAGTTTGCTGACTACAGAATTCTGACTGCAGACCATGGAAATTCAGCAAGTAAATGCAATGTAGATCTATTTGGAGCATTTTACAGTTACTGCTTAGTTCCACATGACGACATCAAAAGACATTTAAAATCTGAGAAATGTAGTATGTAATTTAAAAGTTAACTTAATGAAGGGTCAAAACCACTAGAAGACCTAAACGATAAATCTGGTGAGCATGATGTCAGAGTCAGGACACAGTAGTCTTTAGAGATCCTTAACTGAGGGTTTTCACTCAGAATTAAAATGAAAAAAAAAACAACAACAAAACCACAAAAAATCTAACCAACCAAACAAACTTAACATTGAATTTCATAGTTTTGTAGAAGTCTGATATACTAATTACCTAAGCATGTCACAGTTACATTATAGGTGAATTTCAAGTCAGTTTGAGAGTAAAGTAGAATTAAAATACATTTGGAAAGATGTTACCACAGTTAATATGCCTCTGTGTCTCCTGTCTAAAGTAACACTATTTTTTAAAGTAACACTATTTTGTGATTTGCCTTCACATGGAAACAGTTTAAGGTGAATCATCAGTACTAAGCAAGATACAGGATATCCTGTCCTAGGCATGCTAAATTGACTGCTGAAAGGTCTTGGTTCTACATACTAAATTTATAGTTGAATTTTGATAATGACCATGGGAAAAAACATACGCAAATGTATAGCATAGACTTTATCTTTCTAGTTTGGTGTTGGAATTCACTAATCACAGCAACCGATATATAAACTAATATGAACATGAGAGATTCAAATTGGCTTTACAAATATTATGCATTTGAACGTTGTGTTTTTTCTAGCTGTGAATTTGACCTGCATTCACTGATGAAATATGGTCATCCCATGTGAAAGAAACAATAAAAATATTATAGCATGTTGCAATGTATCAGTTAGTGTGAAGAATGTTTGGAGGGAGTTATGTTTATATGTTTATTATTTTTATTTTAAATAATAGTTTCATTCTTTTTTCCATTTCAGTAATCATGAGAAATGCATGATAAAATGAGGATAGCTTTTAGGGGTTCTTATTACATCTGAAAAACCAAAAATAGCTTTTCTTGTGCTAAACTCATTTGTATGTAAAGACGTGCAAAGAATGAAAGTAAATTTTATGCCCAATGAGAAAAGAAAAAAATGCTTTGTAGTGTATAATGATTCCATTTCTAATCTTGCAGATTCGAGCTTTAAGTAGTGAGCTTCACTTTTATTTCAGCATTCATACTCAATTTCAGTTTCAATCTGATATTCGTAATTTGAACCACAATGTTCAATGTCCGAAATTACTCTCTTTTTCTGTCCTTTGTTGTACAAAACTATATGCGTACTTATATTCCTTACTTTCAGATTCATTATCATTAGATTTTGATAAAGACTTCACTCTTGCTCCCTCCCTCTCATTCTTATTGCTGTATTCTGCTGCCTCTGTCCTCTGAGGACATTTTTTGACAATGCGACTGTTAAGTCTTTTTACAAATATGCATTTATAAATAGAAAATATCTGTCATTACTGGGATACTTGCTTCCTATCTTGTTAGTCTAAAACTGATGATGTCTTTAGTTTTATTTTCCTCATTTTTGATTATAATTGTTTCCAGAAGAGTAATATCTTAGCATGATCTTCCTTTTAAAACATCAAAACATCTGAAATGTTGCTTGTATTTTTTGCAATCCTTGCTCTGGGCTTTTTTTCTTCATCAGTGACTATATAGAGTGTCTCCCTTTTACAAGAGATATCTTTTTATGTATATAGATACTTAGGGGTTTTTTACCTTTCTTAAACCTCAGGGTTGTTTAATTCTTCAGTCTGGAAGAATTCCTAGGACTCTGTTTCATAGTTCTACTACTACACATCTCTTTTCTGAAAAAATCCCACTACTTCATTAAATATTAAATAGTTTAAAACTACTAGCCCATGTCTCAAACAGTTCTGCATAGATTTACAAGCTTTTCTTATCGCTTTTCTACAGCATTTCATGTTAAACATAATTTTTGTGCTGTCTTATTAGGCTTTTCTGTAATGTTGATGCCTTTATTTTTTCCCTCAAAACCAGCTGGTTTTCAATTTGTAAGTCTGAAGGTTTTCTTCTTCAGAGCGTGTGAGCAGAGTACAAGTAGGCAGTGTTTGTACAGCTCTGCCATCTGCCTCGTTTTGCTGAAACAAGTAAAGGTCACTGATAAATCCCAGGAAATATGAAGTGGTGTTGTGCCACTTAAAGTAGTAAGTCTTGTAATCTCTTTTGAATCCTTTTTCTCTTCTTTTTACCTCTGACAGATCTTGGTGAGTAACTTGTCTTATGACTTCAAATTCAAGGACTGTCTCACTTTCAAAATTCAGTGAATTCATAGTAGGGCTTTTGCCTTTTTTGTTTTTTTCCCTTTAACGTAGTTAAGAAGTAAAATCTCATTAAAGATTTAAGTCACATTGATCTTGCAACACCAACTACTGTGGCCAAATAAGCAAGCATTTCCAAAGACCGATCTGTATAATTCTTAAATGTTAGTGAGTTCCTGGCCATGCAAATGCATGATGATAGCATTATTCTTACACCAAAAATACAGGCTGGTGAACTGCAGTCTCATTTCGCAAGCAATATGCCCCAGCTGCCGTCACATACTTTTGTAAGCACCAGTTAATTTAATATGCTATAACTTTTTACCTCTTACTTGGAGAAGCGAGGTTTGTTCTAATTTGTGTCATGTATTATGCATGTGTAGGTTAATATGAGAAGGCTCACAAAATTAATTTCCAAACTATCCATTTTTCACAACCATCTAAGTCAGTGATTATAGGGTGGAAAATAGACAAATTATAGGTTTTCATGACAAAATTTTTAAAATCCAGAGGTGCATACTGTCATTTAAATTGAACCGTGTACGCTACATCTAATTGGTTGCGTCATATAAATGCATTATAAATTATTCTTGGAATGAGTGCTCTCATCTTCTAATACAGCATGCATAAAACCCTTGTCGATACCTGACGCTACAGTCTTCTGTGCATATCCTGAAGGAGATGTTAATATACAGTATCTTTTATAAACAGGCCTCTTTTTGTCTCTGTTAGAAGAAGGAGCTGACTCAAAGAATCTGATAGTCTTCCAAAGAAAACATCTGTTTTAAATATATTTGTTTGGATTCCAGTCAGCACACCTTAGGACTTGCATAATTAGCTTAGACTACAGAGTTCCCTTTTCAGAAGATATGTTTATATAAATAAGCCATGCATTTTTCATTAAGAAAGTACTCCTCCTTTTTTTTTTTATATATAATTAGAAATTCAGGCTTGTATTTTAACATATACTTTTGCAAAGCAAAGATTAGTTGAGAAACTTTTTCAAAACTTTTTTAACTGTTTTTATATGACATTCATTTTATTGTATTTCGTATTTTGTATTGTGAAGTGCCATGCAACCATGTTATCAGTAGTTCAGTAAATGTGTGCATACATTTATAAAGATACTTTTGATACCAGTAATTGATCATTTACTAAATAAAATACAAATTTTGTACCTTTTACTACTTTTGATATTGCATATTCTTTTAAATGTGCATAGTACACTTAAAAAAAATAATTATGGTAGCACCTGTCTTAAGTTTACCTTTCCTAAAGATCTGATTAACTAAAAATACATAAAATACAGTACTTATTTCATCTTAAGCAGCTCCTTAGAAGAGACAAGCAGAAATGGAAGCTCAGTTAGTGGTCCTTTATTCATCTTGTGCCATGCCACACCACATGATTTCCGCTGAACCAGGATGTCTTATCGTACAGCTGTACAACATGAAAAGAATTCTTTTCTAAAACTGGATTAATGATTATGCATACCTTAGGTATTACAATCAAACCTCTCGAATGTTCAGACATTCACAGTTGGGAATGAAATCTTTTACTTTGGGACAAATTCAGCCTGGAGTGACAATTTCATAATATATATTGCAGGTGTGCCTTATTACAAAAGGGCTGAAGCTGGTATTGGATGCATCAAAGTAGCTTATAGGCCTTTTTTTGCCGTACGTACAATCCAGATAAAACTGTTCTTAATCTGACCCAACAGACTTTCTGTCACATCTCATTTCAACTCAGTTCTAGACTTGTGGAAACAGGCGTTATTGCTGTGTTGAGCGTTTTCATCTGAGGCAACATCAGTCATTCCTGACTGATCTCAAAGCCCCGCTTATGCTCTCGCTGTGCAGAATGTTGTCTGTGTGAGAAGCACGGTTGTATGTTTCATTGGAATTTTCAGAAGTCCTCAAACATAGACTGAAGAATTCTATCAGTGATTCAGTATGTTCTTTCTACCTGTGCATGTGATTGACTGAGAGAAGTTGGCCAAGTGTCCTCGTCTGTAGTTGTGGGGAGTGTTTAAAAAAAACATTTTGGAAAGTATTTTTCAGTTCTATACAGTAGTGATAAGTACTAAGAAAGACAATAATGTTGCCTCTTGACTTCCTTTCAGTATAATTTGATAATAATACAGATTTCGTTTGTTTGATGTTCCATAGGTGTTTACTCTGTTATGGATTGCTGACTGGATGGTTCATCACTTCTGGAAGAAAGGAAAAGATCCTGACAGTTTCTCCATCCCTTATCTTACTGCACTGGGAGATCTGCTTGGAACTGCCTTATTAGCTGTAGGTTTTCATTTTCTGTGGCTCATAGGTGACAGAGATGGCGATGTTGGAGACTAATTCCAATGGATGCAATGACTTTTCCTGGAATATTGACAAGAGCAATCATTTCACTTGAAGGTCCTCAAAGTTCCATTTGGTATAAGTAACCAAGCTGACACAGATATAAAACAGCCTTAATGATTTTAGTTTGTTTTTTTTTAAAAAAAAAAATAAAATAAGGCGGAACTAGGAGGATATTTGAGACCTTTACTCTGAAACCAAGGTGAAAACATCTGGGTAGTCACAACGAAGGGCAGATCAATCCTTTATCAAGTTTCAAATTTTTAAGAGATGTGGTCTTTTAAAAGAACGCTTCCTTACCTGTATTGCAAACCAGAACAATCTCTAACCACTCATTCAGTGGTGATGAAGAAGAGGGTGAGATTCCATCAGTGGCTTGCCTCGTCTTTGTCTCCCAGGAACCAAGTGGGTATGTATTTTCCTCTTACCACAGAAGCGCTTAGTAGACCTCAGATGAATTCAGTTTCATAGACGTTACCTGATTAGTTCATGATATGTTCTTACCTTGCAATTTCAGTGCTGTAGCTCTCTGACCATTGCAGACTTGATATTGATAATAACTGTTATGGTGGTTTGAACCCTGGTTGTCTAAACAAACATTTTATCACTTTATTTTACGTATACTTATATGACCATCAGCATTTATAAGATTAGACACTTGAAAAGCACTTTGTCCTAAAAAGAACAACCTAATTATTTTGCTGTTGTGATTTATTAGAACAAGAGCATAGTAAGACAAATAATGTGACACTGACCTAATCAATAATAATGGATGAATGATTAAAACTCCCTGTGTTGGAAGGTGTATTTTCATTTAGCAACTGAGAGGATGTTTAACTAACTGATATTAATGGTTTTTTGATGGCCAGTATCCTGATTTTATTGAAGTATTTAGAGGTGTTGATTCAAATGTAAATACTGATCCCTGCTTGAAAATCGGTGTAGAAAAGGTTATGTTTCTTTTTTTAGGCACTTAGGAAGTCATATGGACTTCTAAAATTCTAGAGCTATGTATGTCATCCATTTCTAAGCAGAAATCTCTGGTTAACAGGATTTCTGCTTTTAAACTGTGAAAGTAATATGGTCAATAAGGAAAATGACTGCTTCTGAATTATTTCTCATATTTGTATACCTCAATATTTAAAAGAATACATTGATCATGAGAACAGGGGTTGCCACTTTGAAAAAATTTACTAATTGCTCTGTTTTAAAATCTAGTAGGAGTTACTCATGGCATATGTTTGTAAAGACTACAGCATACATCCTAAATGCATAATTAAATAAACAACTCATATTTTAAATGGTGTGATTGAAAGTTTTCGAGTTTTGAGAATTAAATTAGACAACTAAATCCATACATCAGCATATGTTTTAATCTTGTAAACATTAGTCATGTGATTTATAAATACACCCATTTAATTTGATGGCCCTACTCAGATGAATTGAATTATGTGGATAAGTGTTAATGGGACTTCTGTAGGTGTCGGTCACCTTAAATTTTGTGGAAGTTGAAAGTGTTTGCAGTTCTGAAAATTAAACCAGCTATTCAGTGCCTACACATGGATTTAGATGCCTGCCTTTTTGCTCCCTCGTTTAAACACTTTTATTTAAGCTTTTTCTTACAGTTATGATAAATAGATGTTTGAATGAAAAATATGTATTATGTCTTTTATTATGTGAGAGAAAGATTAAATCTTTCTAACTTCAGGTTCTCTGACTTTTCTTAGTTTGTATTAATGTTATTTAAAATAGTTTCTTGTATGTAACATTGGGGGAATACTATTAAATTGTTTAAAATGAATCAGATGTAACATTTTTTTTCTGGTAATGGTTATTTATTTTTGTGACAGATTTAGATGCAATTTTTCTTTTATTCTGATAGAACTCCCATCTGCATTGACTAAGCTGCCCTTCCAAGCACGTTTCTCATTAGAGTTACTGGAGCTTAAGGTCTTTTTAAGATTAATTGCAAGATTCTTAATTAAAATTGTTGAGATACTTGTGATCTGTGCTTATCTAATATGTGAGGGCATTGCAGGATTGAGTCATGACAGTATTCCTGGTATGTGAAATGTTTTCCTAGTAAATAAGTAGCTGTTGGTAGAGTCTGATGACAACTGGGTGAGTGTTTAGATCATGGAACTAGGGGAGAAATGTTAAACAGAACAAAGCTAGTGAAATTTGGAAAAGAGAAATATGTTGACAGACTAGAATAATCTGGGCTTGGAAACAATAAATGATTGAAAAGTGTAACGGGAAAACTTAGTACTTCAGGAGGGGGAAAGTTCATTGCAGGGTTGAGAGAGCAAAATCCATGTCATAGGAAAGAAAGGTGCAAACTTTTACACAGCATTTATTGCGAGAAGCAGCAGCAAACAGAAGGAAGTTACTTGGAGGAAAAAATAAAAAAGCAGATCCAAACTTGTTTTTAAGGAAAGGAAGAAAAATATAGCTAGTGTTGAATGGAGTTGGGGAAGAGGTGAAAAAGCAGATACTTTGGAGAATGGTGAAAGTGAGAAAAAAAGAACGCTCTCAGTAAGATATGGTTAAATAAAAGTTTGAGTGGGGAAAGAAGTATGACGTTATTGACAAAGCAGAGAAAACCTTGAAATTTGGAAAAGCAAGGAGTAAATAATATCATGTGGAAAGGAGTTTGATTCCTATGTGGAAGGGACATTTTAAAAACATAGAGGGTTTGCTAATTCTACTACTTAGTGTTATGAAGGTAAAAAGCTCTTACCACCAAGTTTTGGGGGTAATACTATTCCAGCCATGGGATAAGGCAGGAAAGAGGGCTTAGATAGCAGAGAATCTATTATCTACTCAAAAGCTGTACTCCCTAAACCAATTTTAACTCTGGTCAAGTCAATCTCTCCACAGTATTCCACCAACTTGATTTTTTAAAAGAATCTTAAATGCATAGAATTTGCCATTCTGAAGGCATTTGTGGCAATCTTGATTGTTCTATGAACATGTGTGAAAGGGGACAAGCTCATTTGTCCCCTACAACTAGACATAGCTTTTAAATTTGGAATCAGAAGCATTTTGTACCGTAGGTGTTTTATTGTCTTCTTCTTTTCTGCTTTGAAAAGATCTTTGCATTCTTGTGAGTTACTGAATTACACCAACCTATTTTTAGAGTGATTATGTAGCCAGGATAGTTCCCCAGCTGTGTTATGCTGTTTGATACAGAGGAGGATTCTTCTTTTAACGTATTTAGATCAATATTCTGAGTTTTATAGCATCACTGTACATCTTGCCTTAATCTGTGATATTTAAATTGGCTCTATCCTCTTCCACTCACGTGTTTAATATATTAATTTCACTGAGGCTGTTAAAATGCTGATGAGAAATTGGCGAGCAGCAAATTAATTTAACTTCTTTTCACAATTTGCCAGCTAAATTAGACTTTTCTCATACGATGATTAAAACAGCAGGAAGATTAAGGCTTTATAAATGAAGAATACTTTGCAGAGTCAGGACTCAAAATAAGACCTATCATCTTTTTAATGAATTTGCTATTTCACTTCAGTTCTGAGCATCACGAAAAGCTCTCTAAAGTCCAAGAATAACCCAGAATACACATTAGGAAACAGTAGTATAAGCACTCTGTGAAATTGTTTGAAATTCTTTATTGTTTTTAGAATGGTAAAATTGTTAGTGCAGAGGAGACAGTCTCTTTAGAGGTGCAGAAATTGGCAATAGAATATGGTAATTGAATTATAACCTGCTTTAAAAAGAGTAAGATGGTGTTCGAAAGCAGTGCAAAAGGTACTGGAAGCAGTGTGACGTCTCTCAGTAGAATTTTTCTTTCATTTTTGGCTAGCTTTTGTGTGATCCGATACATTGTTTTAATTGCATTCTGTAATCCATTCCTAATCATGTCAGCCTGTTGTTCAGTTATCTTTTGAATTAATTATTTTCCCACACATACTCAACAGTTAAAACCCCCCATCTTTCTGTATATAAAGTCGGGGAGGACAAACTGGTAAAAAGGTGTGTTTTCTCATTAAAGCCTCGTTCTGCTGGTCCTAGAGGAAAGTCTTACTGTTCAATTCAATGTAAATTTGGTCATCCTGTATGCCGTGCACAGATAGTCTAGGGAATTCACGATTAAAGCTAAGAACGAACATGTTTAGTAAATACACAAAATTGCCATGTTCTGGGTGGATATCCAAGAACAGGAGTGTACCCCTTGGTCAGTCAACCTTGGCAGTGCTGAATGGGCTTTACTTTCATAGAATCATAGAATGGCCTAGGCTGGAAGGGACCTTAGAGATCATCTAATCCAACCTGTCTGCTTTGGGCAGGGACACCTCAACTAGATCGGGCTACTCAAGGCCTCTCCCAACCTGGCCTTGAATACCTCCAGGGAGGAGGCAGCCACAACTTCTCTGGACAGTTTATTCCAGAGTCTTGCTACCCGCATACTGAAGAATTTTTTCCTAAGATCCAATCTAAATCTGTTTAACTTAAATCCATTTCCCCTTGTCCTATTGGTGGACACTCTTGTAAAAAGTCCCTCCTCAGCCTTCCTGTAGGTTCCCTTCAGGTACTGGAAGGCAGCTATTAGGTCCCCCCAAAGTCTTCTCTTTTCAAGACTGAACAATCCCAGCTTCTGCAGCCTGTCCTCATAGCAGAGGTGCTCCAGCCCCGGGATCATCCTTGTGGCCCTCCTCTGAACTCATTTCACAGATCTATGTCCCTCTTATGGTGGGGGCA